GACTCTTGATGTTATTTCCACAGGGCATCTTGATTCCTTCAGTTTTCACTATTTTTCCCCTACCGATGGTAAGAGTGGCATATCTGTCCAGTCCAAACTCCATTTTTTATTTATTTAATTTCTATAGCCGCCAATCTCAACCCAGTGACGCTGCAATATCTTGGCTGTATATTTGGACAGCGTTGAGCAGCGATTGTATTTCAGATGGTGTTTTTCCACACAGCTTCAGATTGTCCATGTAAAGGAGCTGGGATAGCCTGGCAGATGTTTTTGATGTTATTATTATTGGCCACACAGCCAGTTGTTTAGACTGGATTTGGCATTTTTATCCACCTATCGAGTCCTTCCCAAGGACCTGGGATGATTTAATATTATTATTAATATTATTATTGTTATTAGTATTACTATTACCATTGTCCGGTAAGTAGAAGCATACTAGAAACCAAATTATTGAAATACCTCACTGGGTTGAATTTTAACTGTGGGGTCCTTGGTGCTCTCTGAAGCTTGTTTGCCTGCGGACGTTTTGGATGGATTCCTTTTACTGCTCTGAAAGAAACATTTTAGGCCTATCTAACCATTTCAAATATCTAACCATGCCTTGGATGGCCCTAAGTCCCATGAAAACAAGCCCTCTCCTTTTAGCATGCAATACGCTAATGGCAAGGAAGCCCTTCGTAAATAAACAAGAGGATATTCGTTTTTTGCAAAAAGTATGCTTACTTCCAGTAGCTGTTCAGCTCGACCGCAATCGATAATCTTGCTGGAATTTGAGTCCTCTCCTGTTTGGTAAAAAATCAGGAGTCCGGGAGCAGCTTTTCCCACTAACCCATTTTATTAAAAGGCAGCAGCTTTGGAAAGCTGGTGAGTGTATGCCTTTTAAGAAAATGGATTACTGTAGTCGGAAAAGGTGCTGTTAGACTCTTCCTGATTTTTTTTCTTGACACCATAGACTAACCCGGCTCTCCTCCTACAATGTCTACCGTTAAGTTTAATTGGTAAAAAATGTTTTTTGCAATCGAAGATTAAAAGAGCCCTCCGTGCATCGCAGGCCGTTGCGCCTTGACACGGATCCTGCCAAATCACCAACCCGCGGCCCGCTAACGGAAGGTAACTCCACAATCGGCTTCTTAACTCCCTTCCTCCGGGTTTTCTCCCTTTAGCCCCTCCTCTCATGTAGCGTAGAGGGGCGTGGCTTCGCCGCCGCCGCCGGGGCCTGGGACCCGGATGGCCGTTTAGTCGGTGCTTAGACGCCGAGGCTGCCACATCGGGCCTTGGACAAATTACAAAGCCGGGAGAGGGGGTTAGCGTAATCTGCCTCCATCCTCCGCCTCGGACTCCCTTCCGCCCCCGGGAAGCTCGTATCCGGAAAGAGCGGCCCGAGCCCGATCCGACGAGGTGGGTATCGGCCTGGTTAGTTCTCAGTAAGCCTGTCTTCAATCTCCTACAAAGCGGTGCTGGTGCGAGGAGGGAGAATAGGTCGGGTTGAGCCGGTAGAACGTTCAGGCCTCCGCCATCTTGTCCCCTACTTCATCCTTCTTGATAACTCTAACCAAACTGAATCCGCAGCCATCCGCCTCTCGGGCCGCGCTCTCCGCTCCCCTGAACCGGCCTTGCCCTTCCCGGAGCGTTGCCCTTGTTGCTGCTGGTGGGTATTTGCCCCCGTCGAGGGTAGCTGGGCGCGTACTTGCTCTCCCCAGCAGAGCCGCCTCCAAAGAGAGAAGAAAGGAGGATGCTTGCAAAAAGAGACGCCGTGTCTTCCACCAGGCCTTCTCCCACCCCCGGAGGGGTTCCCCTCTCGCAAAAATCCGCGGGTGGGCGCGGGCGTCGCTCCGGAGGGCCGACAAGAGGCCTTCAGGAGGCTCAGCCTTCAGGTGGAGTTCAGTTATGACCCAGTTTTAGGACCACCACCACCCCCCGCTCCATGTCACGACACACCTGATAATTCCTGGGGGTTTCAGCCCCCTCCCTTTGAAGGGGGTGTGCCTGAAGGGGGGAAGCTCCAGGGTCTCCTCGGGGCAGCTGTTGGGGGAAAGGGCGCCCCCACCCCTTAATTATCCAGCAGCCACCGTTGTGGGTTCTGGAGGCTGCATTGGGGGGACGGGGTCGGCCCCTGGGATTGAGAAGACGACCTGAGGTGCCTTATTCCTCCTCCACCCCTGGCTGCTTCTGTTTGACAAAAGGCTCCTCGCCAAAGCCCTGAAATGGAGCTGGATTAGGGTAAGGGGGAGAAAGGCTTTAATTTTGCCTTGGTTTTATTTCTAAAGGAACCAGGAGCTGCCCCACGAGGGTCTGTCCTGCTGGCGTTGAAGATGTGCTGGGCTCCCTTTGTACCTCGCCATTATTTCCACAACCCTTGCGGGAAAGGGGTGGAGAGCATTTGATTCTGAAGTCCAAATTGCTGCTGAGGATCAAAGGAGAGGAATCCCTCCCCCCCCCAGCATATCTTCAGTGTAGTGGTGACATTCAGGAGGTGGGATGCTGCTGAAACAGGAGATCGAATCAGCTGGGGCCTTTCTTATTTTTCTTACGAAGCAGAAATCGGAAGGTGCTAGAAAATCTAGACCACTGAAGGGGAAGGATAGTTGGATGTAAAAAAAAACTGGGTCTCCCCCTTTTTTTTAAAAAAAAAAAAAGCTTGATCATTGCAGTTCCCCTGCAGCATGTAGGCTAAATTGTTTATTTTTTTTTCTGCCTTGAATTTCAGTCTAATATTTAAAATATTGAGGGATGGGAAGGGAGGAGGTGTGGCAGGTGTTTTAATAATGATTTAGGCAGGGCTAATATTTGAAGAGACCAACCATCGAGGCTTTTCATTGCCTGCTTTAATACCACTCTAAATGGAAGAAAAATGGTGCTTCTCAGTTTGCTCAGAGAAGGTCCCTTTAATTGAAGATAGTCTTGAGATAATCGTGAAGTTACAACCATGTTAATTGTGAGATGGGCTGTTGGGTTTACATAAAAGCCTGTTTTACTGCACTTAAAAATCTGAATCAATTTAAAAACCAGGTGCTATAATTCCTTATGCTGTTCTGGGATGACACTAAAACATCAACGTGTTAGTATTGGAATGCAAGTATATATTTCCTTAAATCTAGTTAATGGAGAATCTGTTTAGAGAGGATAAACATACCACATTGGGGGTAGAACTTAAATGAGGGGTGTGCCTTTGGGGAAAGAGAGAGTGGCTAGTTAATCTAAAGTCTTCCGTTTTTTATAGCATTCTAAACACAAAATCAATTGTTTGAGGGGGAGAATTCCCTTGTCATCTGTGGTTAGTAAATATTAATGGGTCCTTGTGGTATGTGTATTCCATTTGAAGGATATTTTTTTTAATGCCACAGCCAGAATTAATTTAGCTTAAAAGCTAAATTTGAATTTCCCATCACTATGGCTAGAGGGTGGGTGATGGTAATTTGAGGGTGTATTCTGACACAAAAAGAGCTAATATGGCTCCCTTTCATTTCTGAACTGTGATTCTCTGAATGAGGTGTTTTCCAAAATAAAGGGTGTGTTTGTGAAATCAGAAGCATGTCTCCAAAATATTGGACATTGGTTAAACCTAACTTAGCTTTTTGATTAATGTCTTGACTATCCTCGTTAACTTTACTGTGCACAGAAGATCAAAATACATGATGATTTCAGTGAAGTATTTGAAAATAAAACATCTAAAGCTTGCATTTCAGGGCAACTTGGTTTGACATTATTTGCATATGCTCTGAATTTCAAATCCTTTTAATGCAAATTTTCAAACAGTTTCTGATGCTAGTTGTGAGGAAGAGCAAGATTGTGGGAGCCCTCTGTTTCTTCCTCCCCTTTCCCTGATAAGTCCTGAATTTCAGTATTTACACATTCTGTTTTGGGGCTAAATGCAGAGGAAGGGGGTAAGATGAGGCGGAGGCTATTTGTTTCCCTGCTTGGTTCAAAACCAAAATGGTTGTTGGAGAAAGACATTTTTATCCAGTGCTTTTCTGTTCTAGTGATGGAATTTAGATTGTTGCTTTTTTGTTAAAATTGCATCTACTTTCAGATGGAGGTCTTTTTTTATTTGTTTTGTTGTGGGAGGGAGGGGTACTAATTAAGTAAATATTGGTTAGCATGGTTGCTAGTGAAGGGTGACTTTAAAACATTTTCCTCTAATGCAGTTTTGAGATTCTGCAGATAAATTGAATATATTAATAATTAATGATAGCTGATTCGGTATCAGGGTGGCTTTGAAACAGTGTTCTTTCTCCTTCCAACAGACAGTTAAAATATAATTAAACTGAGGTTTTATCACTTGCTTTATTAAATGTGCAGATTTATAAACTTGCTTAAACATTTAGTTTCCTAATAAACTGATGTATGGTACATGAATAGCCAGTATTCAGAAGGACGAAGCACAAAGTTGAATAGTGTGGGAAATTTATATTCCAGAAATGCTGCATGAATAATGGATAAAAAATTATCAGCTGCTCCTAGTAGGAGTGCTATTTTTAAATCTCCATTGGCTTGTTTTCACTCAGGTGCCATTATATCTGGTTGTGCAGCGCTGGGGGAATTGAACATCTTAGCTATGCACTATGTAGTGAAAACACAGTGAGGGCTGTGGTATGAGATATCCTTTCAGAAGATTAAGCAGCATGACACAATCTTGTTGAAACATAAATGTAATATTGCCCTAAAAATCCTGCTAAAAGAGGAAAGCTTACCTATTTCATGTTGCTGAAATGAAAAATTGTGCTCTCTTGGCATAAGGAAGTGGCTGAAATGATTTACAGGAGATGTTTGCTTTTAATACATATATTGGGTACTTTGCATAGTGAGTTAATATAATGATACTAATTAATCAGCATGTTCAGTCATTTGCAAACACTTGCCCTGATAGATTTTTGGGGTGTCTCCACAGTCAAATAGCTGCTCTATAGCACTTCAAGGTTTAATCTAACTGTAGTTAGATATTAGCAATAATGCTGATCAGCTATATCTCAAAAGGCGCCAAGGGCTGGCTTTAGATTCCCTGCCTCCCTCCCTTGTGATGACAACTTTGGGGTGACAGAAAACAGAATATTATATTTTCTGCAGCATTAGATAATGTAAATGATATTAAACATTGCATGTGCAGAGCGGAATAGAGCACCTTCTAAAGCATTTCATTCACCATTTGATCTATTTTTATGTTTGGCTATCATCATGTTTAGATCTATTTTTGTTGAAGAGAGGAGTTTCAAAGTATCTCAAAGTCCTGAACAGTATTTATTAATTAATGTGAATGTAGGTGGCCTAGACTGTACCACCAGTTATTGACAGTACTTAGAACGGTATGTTGATTATACAGTATTCTTTAGCTATCTATCCCTATAGCAACACTTTAGAGGTATGCTTACAATTAAATATATATTGTCAAGATTTAGATGTTAGAGGCCTTGACTGTGACATGTGCCTGATACTGGATTAATCACCACTGAAATCTTAAATGTACTCCACTATATATTAATTAACATGAAGTGAAAGACTTTGTTCTTTTTCTGTCTTCCACCTCAGTTTCCAATAATTATGTTTTCAAGCTTGGCATTTGAAGAGGTGAAGTGTACGAAATAGTACATTATCAGATTCTTACCCTATGAATTTTGGTTGGTGAACAAATTTCACGTAGTTTATGGTTCCACAAGGAGATGTTTTAGGCTACAGTTTGGATGTTGAAACAATTTGTCAATCACACTACCTGCATAGTTCATTTTTGGCAGTAGCTTAGATATATGATGGTCAGGGAAGCTCAGTGTGTGGTCCCATTTAGCTAGCTTTCAATACCTTGCTGCATGGGAACTGCTTTAGTTTAGTACTGATAATGTACAACTGGGAGTACATACTTTTACAGGGCTGCCACATGGAAAAGCAATTGTATCTTTTCCCCCCCTAAAGATGTAGTATTTTCTTCATGCCTGATTCTGTGGGAAAGACCTATGCAGTTGTGGTGATTCAATGTACACTCTTTTAGTGTACATGTATAGTGGATACAGTTCTACACAAGCGGAGGTTCTTTCAAAGATCAAATGTTTTATGCCAACTTGTAGGTACCTAAGAGTATTTAAAACTAGAAGGCTTGGTTAGAGTAAATTGATCCAGCAGCTTAGTTCACTGTTAGATTTTGATTCTAGGACCTAGGTAGTTTTGAAATGTGATGCATGTATTCATTTTACCCTAACAGTATTTTTTTTTAAATTGCAATATATGCTCAGAAACACAAACCAGTTGGTACAAAATACAGCAACAAAATGATTAGTAGTATTGGATGATAAAGTATTATACCATTGTTCTGTGATCTGCATTGGCTGTAGTTTAATTTAATGGCCTGCACTATGCTGTAATTTAATTTTGATGTTATTTTTTAATTGAGAGGAAAAGTAACGCTATTTCTC